TATAGTTAGGGCTGGTTCAGGTTTATAATTAGGGCTGGTTCAGGTTTGCCTTGGACCAGCCCCATGATATGCTGCTATAGGCCTAGACTGCTGGAGGACTTCCTAGGATACACTGAGCTCCTCTCCTCTTCCATTTCTCCTTCTGTATGAATTCATGTCTCATTAATGCTCATTAATGCACATTACTAACTTTGCTTCTTCCCCGGAGTCTTTGTGCTTTCTCTCCTCACAGGTTTCCATGGATCGTGGTTATATCTGGACCCTGGTCCAGCCTCCTGCTGTGCTGGACAGAGGATGTCGTATGTGTACAGATTGTAAAGCCCTCTGAGGCAAATTTGTGATTTTGGGCTATACAAAATAAATTGAATTGTTCCATTGCAGTCAGTTAATTTCACTGCAGTAGGGAAATCAACTTACAGTTACACTTGTATGTATTTGCTCGCTGCAGGGACAGTTGTATTAATTGATAACCCTATAAACAAGCTCATAGGTCCACACCTACGGGCAATTTAGAATCACTGTGGGAGGAACCTGGAGAACCAGGAGGGAACCCACACTGACACAGGGAAAAACACGCAAACTCCACACAGATGGGCTGTGCAGCCCGGGAATCAAACCCTGGTCCTTCTTGCTGTGAGACGACAGCGCTAGGCATCATTTCATGTCACTATAGCTGTTTTCTCACATTGTCCAGAGTCGCACATTCACACGTGTAGAACCAGAAGATTGTCCGTGTCAGACCCATTCTCACCTTCTGGAAACACTGTTGGGTTTCGGCAAGCGCTGGTGCCTGGGCAGAGTGCGCATTTGTAATTTGGTCATAAACAACAGAGTCTCTTGCCATCCCTTGAATTTGTATGACCATTTAAGCATCTGCCCTTTCTGACAGATTTTTCATAAATCTTGTCGTGCCTTCCAGGTGTGTGCGTTTCTGCACAGTGGGAGCTGCCACGTTTTCCCTTGTCACATACCAAGACATGCTTGTGCGTGAACGCATGCAGCCTTTACGATATAGAACAGTCTGATGGTTTGTTAGTTAAAGTGGTGTAATAACCCATTTTGATAGGTTCCTTGTATTTAAAGGAAGTGAGAAAACCAACAAAGGAAGTATAGTTGTTTTAATAAAAACAAAATTTCGCACTGAAAGCTGCCAAACTACTCATAGAATGTTCAAGTGCTCATATACACGACTGATGTGCAAAGGACAGAAGTCATCATTATATCTGAAAAAACATTGTGTCTCCAACACTAAATCATGGCGGTGAATCTCCTTTACACCTTTTAGAAGACATGACATCCATCCACTCCTGTAATCACGGGTTTGAATGGTCCAAAAATCTTTCCATCATTTCAACTGCAGCACCACCTGCAAGACACAAACACATATCAATCATCAGCATTCATTTGACGGACCAAGTGCAGATATTTACTACGTGCATAAAACAGCATATAGCTAAATATTCTGCAGATGGTTTACAGTTTGGTTAAATGCTGCGAAAGTTGACCTGTGTCGTTAGCGCCTGTACTATCATTTGTTATAGTTTCCCCGGGAGTTGGTGAAGACCAGTGCTGTCAATACTCTGACCGGTTCCTACTGAAGACTTCTTAAAAACACCTCAAAGATGTATTTTCTCAAGTAAATAGGTGATTTCCTGAACAGTTTTTTTAATAATGATTTCATATAAAGTATACTGTAGTTATTTTAGTGCACCCCGACTGTCATGATGAAGCTAACAAGATCACACATTCCACTTCTCTCATCATGTTGAGCTGCGGCTGTATGCCGTAACACTGACACCACCTACTGTTCATCCTCCATCGATGTGGAACATTCAGCAGGTGGCCGTGTTTCTTCTGTTGCATTAGAACAGCGTAGTTCATTCATTCATGTTCTACCTTGACCATAGTTTATCGTAGACGGATGTTTGGTTTTCCCCTCACCACATTGAGCTACACATGGAAGTGTGCAGAGAGACACACACGCAGTAGTCTGCATGCTCTGAATTTCATATTCAGCACCGTTAACTAACCAAAACTAATGACGTGTTTAGTGTGTGTGTGTGTACCTTATTAGCAGCCTCTAGTGAACTGATGAGTGTGTTTAACTCCTCTCTGTTCATCTCCATGGTGACAGACCGGAGGGCTCTGTTCTCTCTCACGTCCAGACTGAGACTGAGCAGAGGAGTGTGGAGAGAGGAGATCTTATCGCTGGACAGAGCCAACTGGAGACCGGACAGGAGAGAGAAGAGGCGGCGTTAATACAGACTGTGTGTTTACTGAACTTCCCAAGGCTGCTGTCATAATATGGTGTGATGTCAGCACTCGGCTATTTGAATACCTAACTTATTCACTTTTGAAAAAAAGGTCAGTGTCTCAAACTGAATGTGGTCATAATGAATTGACATTAATGTGAATAACCCACTGATCTCACATCTATTGCTATCTTCAGGTCGATGAGCAGGCATTATTGATATTCAAAATATGTACCAAAGATAACTATTCTGTGCCTATATGTGGCTGAGTCATTATTTGGGCTCGTTTTGTATTTGTGATTGTATAAGGAATGTGTGTTAAGTCTATGTCAGGCCTCTCTGTCCCTGTCAAACATGAACATATAAAAAGATTTAAAGAAAGAAACAGTAAGCTCATCCTCATGTAGTTCTTCGTAATAGTCTTAGTTGCATGCCATCAGCTCAGGTGTGCTGACTTCCTGCATCGTTTCCCCCGAGAGCACCACAAGCTTTCACCACAAGCTTTAACTGGGGACTTGCAGGAACACATGAGACATGATGAGTGAAGCATTGAGTCACCTTAAGTTGCCAGTCAAAGTCCTGCAGAGTAGCCGAGGAGATGGAGTTGGTTCTGTCCAGCAAAGAGTCTCGGATCTCTTCCCGTCGAGCTCTCAGCACGCTCAGCACAGACTCGGCGTGGCTGCTGTCCACATCTGCCAGCCCGGCCAGTACCTGTCCACAGCCATACAGAACACCACCCGCTTTAGGCCCTACTCACAGCAGCCATTTTTACATGTCGTCAGGCTCGTTTTGAGATGAGCTGCTCTGAGCTTGGAGAGTGGACGAGAGCAGGCGACAGCAGCAGGGGGCGGTGACAAAAAACACAGGAAGTTAAAGAAACAGTTACTTCCTGTTAGATCCGATCTGTAGGCTACTTGTAGTTTACAGACCTCGTTCGGATTTATAAATAGATATTTATGTGGAAATATGCGTGTATCTGTATTATATGTTATCCTATCTTTTTATGTCTGCCTGTTCGTTTTGATATGTGTTGTATAAATAAGCTTTATTATTATTATAAATCACACAAGATATGTTTTTAGATTAAACCTTTGCTCCACAACATGAAACTAAAAGCCAACAATCTAGCATTAAATATTACAATTAAACAGAAAATTTGGATTTTCTACAAAACGTGGTGTTTGTTGTCAAATCAAAGAACCAATCAGAATCCGGCCCAGGCGACAGCCAGGCGTTTCCCATCATGCAGTAGGTGGAGAGCAACTGCCGCTCCTGGCTCTAAAATCTGCAGCCGCCTCGCTCTCGTGAGGTCATCGTTGACCACGTGTTCATGACGTCAGAGCAAGTCGGGATCAAGTCGGACACAAATCTACCCAGCATGCATTGCGCGCCGATCGCCGGTGATCGATTCTGATCAGGCCTGGCTCACCTCAAACGAGCCTGCTGCAGGGTAAACACAGGTGTAATTGATCAAATCATGAAGGTGGGCCGGGGCCCCGTTGTGTTGCGCATGCTGAACCGCTGGAATAGCTGCGGCATTCAACAGAACTGGACCACCATCCATTTGACTCCATCATCTTCCCTGTTGCTCTCTCACCTCTTCATCAGAGCTGTTGCTCCCCACTGCCCGGCGGAAGAGGGCCGTCAGGGAGTCGAGCAGCTCCAGCCATTCCTCCAGGTTCCAGGAGGCTCCGTGATCCCCCCTGTGAGGAGGCTCCCGCCCACACAGTCCATCCACCACCCTGTGGCAGAGCTGCACACCAGACAACATGGTGAGGGGCACACTTTGGTGTTTGGTAGAGAGGACAAAGCTAGTCCTTGGGTGTTTTAGTTTGATCAATTTTGTGCAATTACTATATCAACTTTTGTCTACAAAAAGATAATTTAGACTGTCCGGCTATCTGCCGGACAGTCTAAATAAAGACAGACACATTGGTGTTAATTAACAAAATTAAATACAACATTTTGTCCAATATTTTAGTGATTTTAAAACAAAATAATTTGCCGAACTCAGCATTTAGAGACATAATAGGATAACAGATGTATTACCAAGCATGTTTAATGGATATTTATATTTAGTTTTAATGCATAATTACAATGAAAGCAATGTATAGTTGCTTTTTATAATTGTATTAATTGACTGTAATTAGACATTGACATATGCAATTATTTTTGGTAGCATTAGCCAGATTTGTAAAAGACTAATAAAGAATAAATAATCCAATGACCCCTCACATTTAGTTGGAGGATACCGACGATACACAACCAGCAGTGGGACCAACCTGCTGAGTAACACACGCCACGTCCACTGCGTGCTCGGACATGTGAGAGGACGTGAAACATAGCAACATGTTCTCTCTTCATGTCCGGAGAGGAAACAACGGTTCGTGAATGCAACGCCTGCTACTTACTTTTAGACACTCGCTGACAGGCAACCTGTTCAATAAGACCACCATGTTTCCGTCCGCTTCCGCCTGCCGATCAGCTGACAGTCAGTCACGTGGTGAAATGAGCTGCGTTCAAAATACCTGGGAAAAATGCACTTCTGCGTCTCCGGCGGCTTCTTCGACCGCGCATAGAACGTCAGTAGATGGAATACTGTGCTGTGCATAACAGTCGGTATATGTATACGTATGTGTGTATCTGTCGCTGAGGTTCTTCTAGAGGACGTTGTTGATGAGTGTTGCTAGTATTACCCGTGGTGCTTTGTGCCGCAGGCTGCCTCTCGGTGTAAAAATAGGGATGTGACCGAGGACATACGGTTGAAGGTCCACTTGAAGACGGGAACTAACAGCGGGGGTAAGTACTGTCTTTCACTATTTCTGCCGTGGACTGAGATGGCCACATATGAGAAGGTTACTTCTCGAGTTGAGAGGACGAACCCGCTTCAGCCGTCCGGAGGGCAAACTTCTCCCATGAGCCAAAAACAGCTCTCTTTCAGGAAGAGACCTGTATGTGGGTGTGTAGTCATTTCGATAATGGTGAACAATGAGCATAAAGGCGAACATCAATGGAGGCTGCTGTGGACATGTCACAACAACTTTCATTTCAGATGGTCCAGATTCCGACCCCTAAGGTGGTGACAGGTCAACGTGGAGCATACAGCTCTGTGTGCTCCCAAAGAGCAGCATCACAGCAGCTGAACCATGACCATGTCTATGGGCTGTGATAGTGGAGACTCCTTCAGTGAGAACTACTGATGAGACAACATGGCTTAATAGGGTTCGATTGAGTTCAGTCTCGCGGTTAAACGTCTACATACAAATGAAGTTGAGTTTAAGTTTCAACTTCTAAGTTAAAGTCTAACTTTAAGTTTAAGTCTTGCATCCAGTTTGCACTGATATGATTTGTGGATGAGTCATGAAGGAAAGGTTCATTTATGGAATATCTATCCCAGGTATTCAATTAAAATTCACTGAGGTCCGTTTAGAGAGAATGTCCTCATGCAAAGGTCCAGAACATCACAATAATGTCTTACTTGCGCTATGATTTAGTTCCATATATATATATTGATGTAACAGTTGTATTAACGTCTGTATGTAGTTAACAACTGACTGTCGTTTAAAATATAGAATGTTCAATTTAATAATACCTCAACAATATGTATTGTCAGTTTTCAAATTGAACGGGATGAATTATAATACATACACAGATACGCATACATATACATACTCGTAAGAATATATAAATGATCTTCTCTCATTTCAAGTAAAATAAGGGATGGATTAAAAAAATACAATACATAACGGAAAGCTTTTATAAAAATGTGCATCTTAAAATAAACCACATATTTCAGCTTTATTCCTCTCTGTTAAAATCATTGTTGGACATGAATTAACATGTTAGGATTCTGATCATATTGAGTGGGTACGTTTGCTCAAAAGATGTGTTCCTTGTCTCGTAGCGGTGTTTAGTCTTTTCTATTGTCTTGTACTTCAACAATTTTTTAAAAACAAAATGCAACATTGTTGAAGTGCAAAATTTGACAAACACCATATGTGTAATTCAATGCACAACCTCAAACTGGATCAAATAATCATTTGTCTTCGCCTTTGACCACCGTACATATTTTTTATCCCAAAAAGGTCTGATGGTGGTCCATTGGAAGGGGAGTGACACAGCCTCTCATTGTACGGTGCATGGTTTAACTGTCAGCATATTATTTACTCGGGTTCAGCTGCAGTTCAGTTCCAGAGTAACCAAGTTTCAGATAGATTCCTATTAGACTCGATTGCATTTCCTCAGCACTGTCCTACCATCACATGTCCCATCCCCAGACAGCGGATCATCCTGATGGCTTGTAGAAATCCAAGATAATAAGATAGTAAGAACTGCAGAACAAAGCATCGGTCGTTTTCAATTTACATGATCAAACTTTCAGAGCGGCTCATAAGAAATCGACTTGCGCTTCTGCAAAACCACGTTTAAGGGTCCAGTGTAAGATTTATTGGTGTGAATTTTAAATGTATAGAAGAACACCAGACTGATCCTTTAACTTGCCTTTAAGAACAAACTAGAGAAACACATTATTGTATTCTCTCTTTGCAGGATGAGGACATTGTGAAAGTCCAGTGTGGAGCACAGAGGAGGGGGCCCATCCACTCTCACAGCTCAGCTAGAGTCTCTGCAGATGGAGCGGCTCCACTGGGTGCGACATCGCTGTCGGCGGCTGCTGGCAGGAGGCTCTGGGAGAGGCTGGTACTCTGCCCCTGATGGCCTGCCCGGCAAAACCTCCCTGGACACCCACAGCTCTCCACGGAGGGCGAGTGGGAAGCAGAGAACTGTGTTCGCTCGCCATGGCCCACCCCAACAGGGGTTCGAAGCGGTGTCCACAAGCTATGAGGGCAATGCCATCTGCACTACCAAGTACAGCTTGTTGACTTTCATCCCAATGAACCTGTTCCAGCAGTTCCACAGGTCAGATTTGTACTCGTGGGTTGAACATGCTGCCTGGCTTTGTTGAACAGCTTCTGTGTCACAAAGCCAGATCAGTGTGTCATCACGCTATCTGTGGGATCAATGTGTTGTATACCAATGTAAATGGTGGTAGCACATGGTTGTACAGTACTTCCACTGCTTCTGTTGTTTCTTTGTAGTTTCTACATACTAACTTGCTGCTCTGGCCTTCCTTTTGTAGGGCTGCCAACCTCTACTTCCTGTTCCTGGTGCTACTGAACTGGGTCCCGGTTGTTGAAGCCTTTCAGAAAGAAATTACCATGATTCCTCTGGTGGTGGTCCTCACTGTTATTGCCATCAAAGATGCCATGGAAGACTACAGGCGCTACTTGTTCGACAGGAAGATCAACAACAACGTGGTGCAAGTGTTCTGTGGGTGAGTCTACTTATCTGCCTTTTTAGATGATAAGAAATCTTCTCCTGCATTGTCTCTGTCACACCCTGCACCCAGCCCAACAAACACCCTGGTGCCTTCTGATACAGCCAGCTGCCAACAGCCAGCTCTGCCCATCCCAGCTAGCCTCCAGTCAGCCTAGAAGAACGAGCCCTACAAGGGGTCCTTCTGGATGACTCTTGATGGCAAAGTCCTGTTCTCCTGGGAAAAAAAGTGCCGTCTAAATGCTGCAGCCCCACAGGCCAGGCAATGAAGCTGTTAAATAAGGAGACCCTCAGGAGCCCTCAGTACCTGGTGATCCACACAGAAACAGATGACCTGCACAGCTGCCGTACAGACATCTGGACCTCCCACTCTAACCAGGCGCGGGATATAAGCTGCAAACCCCAGTGTTGAGTGTAACCTCGGCATAACTGTTTGGTGTGTTTACATCAGTCGTTGTATCAGTTGGAGGAGCCATCATTTCATTATGTTAGAATGTACAGTAATATTATATCATAAGGAAGATTCGTCAAACCATGCTGTTCAATGTTGCTCGTGGATATATCCATCTGTCCACGGCTCAGATCTGAAAGGATTTGCAGGGAGCCAATGACCGCACCCCCTTTTCTCTCCTTTATCTGGTTTCACAATCCGTCTCTTGAGACAGCTGTAAAGCTTGCACCTTGAGTTTGTTTATAGCGTGAGTGACTTTTAGAGGAGGTAGTAACTATCCATTCATCCCCCTCCCCCATTCCCACCTCGCCTGCCACGTCTGTGTCTTTACTTCAGAGGGACAGGGGAAAATATTCCACATTTAGAATGATCTGCATGAATGTAGAAGAAAAATTACACCTGGAGAACGGTTGCAGGAAGGTAAGGCTTCTTAGTGGAGACATAGACCAGCAGGGGGGATAATCCACGTGAGCGGTGGTCTCATGTATAGCTTGGATCGTCCGTCCCATCTTCACTCTTCCCTGGAGCGCTTCTGGAAGAAGAGGACGGTAGTACCTTCCTCCACAGAGAATGAGGAACTGAGCCAACTCCTGAAGTTGTATAAAAGCAACAAGATCTGTACCACAAAGTATTCTCTCTTCTCCTTCCTGCCCAAGAATCTGTTCGAGCAGCTCCATCGCTTTGGCAATATCTACTTCATCTTCCTGGCTGCTCTGAACTTTGTTCCCGTAGTGGAGGCCTTCCAGCCAGAGATCGCTCTGGCTCCTATCATACTGGTGCTGTCACTGACGGCTGTCAAGGATATCTGGGAAGATTTCCGCAGGTTTAAATCGGATCGTTCTATCAATAGGCCTCTGTGCCACATTTACAGCAGGTAAGTTAAATGTTGCTTTCAGTCAGTTTGATGTGTCAACAACCAACATCTAAGCTATCTTCTTCTTGGGACTGTATATTCCCCTTAGCGTTATCCAAGAAGGATAGTTGTGACTCAGTTGTGTGCATCTTATTTTCTTAAGAGTTAAAGGGTTTTACAGAGGGAATTTGGAGATCCCTTTGTATCACTCCATGACTTACAAAATACTGTGAACAGCCATTTAAAAAAATAAATAAATAATTTTCTCCATGTTTTTAGGAATACAATTTTATATAAATCAGGCTAGGGGGCTGCACGGTGGTGTAGTGGCTAGCACTGTCGCCTCACAGCAAGAGGGGCCCGGCTTCGATCCCCGATCCCTGGCGGTGCTTCTGTGTTGAGTTTGTACGTTCTCACTGTGGCAGCGTGGGTTCCCTCCGGGTTCTCCGGGTTCTCCGGCTTCCTCCCACAGTCCAAAGATATGCAGCTTAGGTTATTTGGAGACTCGAAATTGCCCCTAGGTGTGAATGTTTCTCTGTCTCTATGCATGTGCCCTGCGATAAACTGGCGACCTGTCCAGGGTGTACCATGCCTTCGCCCAATGTCAGCTGGGATCGGCTCCAGCGACCCTGAATAGGATAAGCGGTTTGGATAATGGAATAAATCAGGCTATGATCGATATATGAACAAACCCCTCTGTAAAAACCTTCAGTATATAGATAGGAATGAAACTGGAACGTTTGGTGCATGTGCTACTCAAGTGGATGTTTCTGGCTCATAGTACGAGAAAGAAATGATTTTGAGAAAACGGCCTTTAAAGTTATTGATTGTACAATTTCATACATTTTGCAAGGCACTACATGTAAATAGGGTAAATAAAAATGACTTGAAGGATATCCCCATGAAACTTTCTCAGTTGATAAAGACAAGTCGTCTGAAATGTTGTGTTCAATATGCAAATAGACATGGTGAGTTTGTGAGAAATCTACAGACACAAATAGAGAACGTGTAGTAGAATGATCACCAAAATGTGTGTTTTGGATGTTTTCTTTCCACTACTCTGAAAAAGATGTGTAATGGAGGCAAAATAGCCCAAAATCTCATAATTTACCAGTGCATGAGATTGGAGATTTCTGCCCTTTTTAAAAAGGTCAAAAAAAGTTGGTTATAAAAAACGGACGTAAACTAGTATGAAACCTACAATTACAAAAGTAACTGTTAAAATACTTTAACAGTCCTTTATGTTGCTAAACCTTAAGTGGTCAAATCAAGACTTCATGGCTGCTCTTCGACAACATAGCAGAAGTTCAACAACCAATCAGTCAATGGACCTTTATAAAGGATTGTAGGTCACTTCGCTGCTATGCACATGCAAAACGCATTCTGTGCGTAGGGTGCCAGGTGCCAAAGGGGCAGCAAACCAGACTGGCACAAAGAAAGAATGATACCAAAATAGGCAACAGGTTATTCGCTCTGTTTTCATATCATCGTCGCTATCTTTTGAACAAATGTATTCTGCTGCATACACTGTTTAGGCTCCATCCACACGAATACCTTTTCATTTAAAACAAGTTTTAAAACAAAAACGATCTCCGTCCACACGGCGTCTCAGCATCGTTTTCGAAATGATTTCCGTCTAGACTTAACAAGCCTGAAAACGAATATCACGTGACTATTCACATACACTGGGCATGCGGGTGCCGGTGTAAACAGGAAGTAGATTGGTTGCTTGGTTACAGAAAATTAGACGAAGTATTATAGTAGCATTTAATAATGAAAGGTTGTGCTTGATACTAAAGATCTTCCTCTATAAACTCAAACAGACACATTTTGTGGAAAGTTTTAGAAGTTTTATTTTTCAGACTTAGTTACAACGGTCCAGGCCTTTCAAACTTACCCTCTGTGTGTCTGTGTGTGTGTGTGTGTGTGTGTGTGTGTGTGTGTGTGTGTGTGTGT